TACACTGCGGGCTCTGCATTTTTGTGGCGGCAGGAGCCGACCCCGCATTTTCACTAGCGGCTTTGAGCCACAGAAGGCAAGGTTAGCCACTCACGTGTCCCTGCTGAAACGCCTGGGGACATGTCCCTCACTCGGAACGCTGACAAAAAGACGGAGGCACCTGCCGGACCGCATAAAGACAGTCACGACGTGCACTCGCTCTCTGCGTTTCCCAGCCGAGGGCGGAAACCGCCCCCCTTGGGGTCTCCAAAGGAGCAAAGAACTACGCTCCAAAGCTCTCCGTCAGCCGCTTTCCCACTCCCAGAATTTACTCTTTCAAGGGCTTTGACTAAGCGTGGTGCGCAACAGAGCGCTTCTTACCAATTGACCGGGCAAATACTGACAACTCTGGCATGCAGAGCCGACGCTGCTGCGCCTGCAGCTGCTCCGCAGACCCCCGCCTCTGCCCAGCCACGCCGCCCGGTCACCAGCTGGCAGCGCTGCGCACAATGCGTGCCGGGATGGAAAAAGTGCCGCGGGTGAAGGACTGGACCTGCTGCCAATTGCCTAGAGCCCGGAAGTAGGTGGGGCCAGAACCGGAACTCCCTCCCACCTACCTACATAGGGAGGCGCCATTTTGTCGTAGTCCGTGTTCCACCCTGAGGAGCCGCCATTTCATGTTACTCCGTACCCCACGTGGTTTTGTACTGCTTAGGGCTCGGCTCCCCGGCTTGTTCCTTAACTCTTTCGTATTCCCAGGCCTCCCTCTGACTGCCTGCCCAATTCCCTTGCTCCGGGAAGCGCTCACATGAAAAAAAACTGATCCATTCCTACGCAGTCGCACCGGGCAAACACGTCCCGGTGCTGGCACTGGTGGCTGTCTCGTGTCTGACGCGGGGTTTCTGGAGACCAGCGGCACTAGGGGCACTTTGATCCCAGCTAACAACTCTGCCAGCTCCACTTCTCATTTGCCAATAGCGACCCGCTCGCACCTCCCACGTGAGGATCTGATGGGAAATCCCTCGCCCTTCCAGTGCGCAGCCTCTAGCCCTCTGCTAAGTCACCGACAGCCAAGGGCAGTCCCCGCCAGAGGGCCCCAGTCATTTCATCCTAGCGTTTGATACAGCCATGGAAGAAGCAGCCGTCACGTTCAGGAGCTCTCGGCACGCCACCAGTGACAGCAGAGCGCTGCAAGAGCAAGGCTCTCTTTGATATTCCACTCCTTGTCACGCGTAAGCACGTTCCAGGCTCCTGGGCCTAAATATTGAGCTAGGCACTCCTCTACTTCAGGAAGCGACTGACCAAAGGCATAAAGCAGGCTCTCCTGCTGCCCCCCTCGGTCACTGCTCCCAACACAAGTGGTCTCAACACACAGAGAACCGGCTGTGCAGCAGACTTCAGGGCCTGCAAAGGGCTCCCTGCAAAACGCTCACAGCCACAGCCCTTTCTTCCCTGCTCTCAAAACAGGCCAGCAGCGTGACTTACACTTTGACACAGCCTGCACAATTCCTTCTCTTGGGAAAGCACTGCACCTCTCTTCCAATACGTGCAACAAAAACTCTGTTCTCTCAATCCTGCTTCCACAACCCGGTTTCTGGCAATTCCACAAGTAGCCAGCATCAGCACCGGCAAAAGGAAAACAACCGCAGCTCATCGCTTCTAAAGGCACTGATCTCACTGACAATAAGCATCCGTTCAGAACCACCGAGAATGTCCGGGCCGGTGACTTTGGTACGGCTAGAATAACATCATCCTCCTTTCACGTCACGCACAGCAAGAAAAGACGGCCTAAGGAAGAAGGAGCTGTTCACGCCGGCTGTGAGGGCCTCATCTTCCCAGCAAGCTGCTACGCGTGGTTAGCCCTGCTTGCCCGAAAGCAGCCCAGGCTCTGTCTGTCTGCCTGCCTACGGGAAGCTGCAGAAGAATTCCTTGGTTTGCTTTGCTTGTGCGTGCGGCTTTGCTTCCACCTGCCACAACGCCTTTCTCTAACCCCTTGAATTCTCACACGGTTACCTTGCCAGTTCTCCCCCATAACCCACCCACGTGGGCAGCGACAGCAAGCAGCTGTCTGGGGCTTAGCTCTCTGCCAGGTGAAACCACAACAAGGACACAGTTGCCAGCGTGCAGAAATTAGACCCGTGTGTATCTTCCTAAAAGTGCACGTCTGGAAAGGATGAGACGTTCCCCAGCTGGACTGCCCTCGGGGCCTGTCGGCCACGTTCTTACACTGCGGGCTCTGCATTTTTGTGGCGGCAGGAGCCGACCCCGCATTTTCACTAGCGGCTTTGAGCCACAGAAGGCAAGGTTAGCCACTCACGTGTCCCTGCTGAAACGCCTGGGGACATGTCCCTCACTCGGAACGCTGACAAAAAGACGGAGGCACCTGCCGGACCGCATAAAGACAGTCACGACGTGCACTCGCTCTCTGCGTTTCCCAGCCGAGGGCGGAAACCGCCCCCCTTGGGGTCTCCAAAGGAGCAAAGAACTACGCTCCAAAGCTCTCCGTCAGCCGCTTTCCCACTCCCAGAATTTACTCTTTCAAGGGCTTTGACTAAGCGTGGTGCGCAACAGAGCGCTTCTTACCAATTGACCGGGCAAATACTGACAACTCTGGCATGCAGAGCCGACGCTGCTGCGCCTGCAGCTGCTCCGCAGACCCCCGCCTCTGCCCAGCCACGCCGCCCGGTCACCAGCTGGCAGCGCTGCGCACAATGCGTGCCGGGATGGAAAAAGTGCCGCGGGTGAAGGACTGGACCTGCTGCCAATTGCCTAGAGCCCGGAAGTAGGTGGGGCCAGAACCGGAACTCCCTCCCACCTACCTACATAGGGAGGCGCCATTTTGTCGTAGTCCGTGTTCCACCCTGAGGAGCCGCCATTTCATGTTACTCCGTACCCCACGTGGTTTTGTACTGCTTAGGGCTCGGCTCCCCGGCTTGTTCCTTAACTCTTTCGTATTCCCAGGCCTCCCTCTGACTGCCTGCCCAATTCCCTTGCTCCGGGAAGCGCTCACATGAAAAAAAACTGATCCATTCCTACGCAGTCGCACCGGGCAAACACGTCCCGGTGCTGGCACTGGTGGCTGTCTCGTGTCTGACGCGGGGTTTCTGGAGACCAGCGGCACTAGGGGCACTTTGATCCCAGCTAACAACTCTGCCAGCTCCACTTCTCATTTGCCAATAGCGACCCGCTCGCACCTCCCACGTGAGGATCTGATGGGAAATCCCTCGCCCTTCCAGTGCGCAGCCTCTAGCCCTCTGCTAAGTCACCGACAGCCAAGGGCAGTCCCCGCCAGAGGGCCCCAGTCATTTCATCCTAGCGTTTGATACAGCCATGGAAGAAGCAGCCGTCACGTTCAGGAGCTCTCGGCACGCCACCAGTGACAGCAGAGCGCTGCAAGAGCAAGGCTCTCTTTGATATTCCACTCCTTGTCACGCGTAAGCACGTTCCAGGCTCCTGGGCCTAAATATTGAGCTAGGCACTCCTCTACTTCAGGAAGCGACTGACCAAAGGCATAAAGCAGGCTCTCCTGCTGCCCCCCTCGGTCACTGCTCCCAACACAAGTGGTCTCAACACACAGAGAACCGGCTGTGCAGCAGACTTCAGGGCCTGCAAAGGGCTCCCTGCAAAACGCTCACAGCCACAGCCCTTTCTTCCCTGCTCTCAAAACAGGCCAGCAGCGTGACTTACACTTTGACACAGCCTGCACAATTCCTTCTCTTGGGAAAGCACTGCACCTCTCTTCCAATACGTGCAACAAAAACTCTGTTCTCTCAATCCTGCTTCCACAACCCGGTTTCTGGCAATTCCACAAGTAGCCAGCATCAGCACCGGCAAAAGGAAAACAACCGCAGCTCATCGCTTCTAAAGGCACTGATCTCACTGACAATAAGCATCCGTTCAGAACCACCGAGAATGTCCGGGCCGGTGACTTTGGTACGGCTAGAATAACATCATCCTCCTTTCACGTCACGCACAGCAAGAAAAGACGGCCTAAGGAAGAAGGAGCTGTTCACGCCGGCTGTGAGGGCCTCATCTTCCCAGCAAGCTGCTACGCGTGGTTAGCCCTGCTTGCCCGAAAGCAGCCCAGGCTCTGTCTGCCTGCCTGCCTACGGGAAGCTGCAGAAGAATTCCTTGGTTTGCTTTGCTTGTGCGTGCGGCTTTGCTTCCACCTGCCACAACGCCTTTCTCTAACCCCTTGAATTCTCACACGGTTACCTTGCCAGTTCTCCCCCATAACCCACCCACGTGGGCAGCGACAGCAAGCAGCTGTCTGGGGCTTAGCTCTCTGCCAGGTGAAACCACAACAAGGACACAGTTGCCAGCGTGCAGAAATTAGACCCGTGTGTATCTTCCTAAAAGTGCACGTCTGGAAAGGATGAGACGTTCCCCAGCTGGACTGCCCTCGGGGCCTGTCGGCCACGTTCTTACACTGCGGGCTCTGCATTTTTGTGGCGGCAGGAGCCGACCCCGCATTTTCACTAGCGGCTTTGAGCCACAGAAGGCAAGGTTAGCCACTCACGTGTCCCTGCTGAAACGCCTGGGGACATGTCCCTCACTCGGAACGCTGACAAAAAGACGGAGGCACCTGCCGGACCGCATAAAGACAGTCACGACGTGCACTCGCTCTCTGCGTTTCCCAGCCGAGGGCGGAAACCGCCCCCCTTGGGGTCTCCAAAGGAGCAAAGAACTACGCTCCAAAGCTCTCCGTCAGCCGCTTTCCCACTCCCAGAATTTACTCTTTCAAGGGCTTTGACTAAGCGTGGTGCGCAACAGAGCGCTTCTTACCAATTGACCGGGCAAATACTGACAACTCTGGCATGCAGAGCCGACGCTGCTGCGCCTGCAGCTGCTCCGCAGACCCCCGCCTCTGCCCAGCCACGCCGCCCGGTCACCAGCTGGCAGCGCTGCGCACAATGCGTGCCGGGATGGAAAAAGTGCCGCGGGTGAAGGACTGGACCTGCTGCCAATTGCCTAGAGCCCGGAAGTAGGTGGGGCCAGAACCGGAACTCCCTCCCACCTACCTACATAGGGAGGCGCCATTTTGTCGTAGTCCGTGTTCCACCCTGAGGAGCCGCCATTTCATGTTACTCCGTACCCCACGTGGTTTTGTACTGCTTAGGGCTCGGCTCCCCGGCTTGTTCCTTAACTCTTTCGTATTCCCAGGCCTCCCTCTGACTGCCTGCCCAATTCCCTTGCTCCGGGAAGCGCTCACATGAAAAAAAACTGATCCATTCCTACGCAGTCGCACCGGGCAAACACGTCCCGGTGCTGGCACTGGTGGCTGTCTCGTGTCTGACGCGGGGTTTCTGGAGACCAGCGGCACTAGGGGCACTTTGATCCCAGCTAACAACTCTGCCAGCTCCACTTCTCATTTGCCAATAGCGACCCGCTCGCACCTCCCACGTGAGGATCTGATGGGAAATCCCTCGCCCTTCCAGTGCGCAGCCTCTAGCCCTCTGCTAAGTCACCGACAGCCAAGGGCAGTCCCCGCCAGAGGGCCCCAGTCATTTCATCCTAGCGTTTGATACAGCCATGGAAGAAGCAGCCGTCACGTTCAGGAGCTCTCGGCACGCCACCAGTGACAGCAGAGCGCTGCAAGAGCAAGGCTCTCTTTGATATTCCACTCCTTGTCACGCGTAAGCACGTTCCAGGCTCCTGGGCCTAAATATTGAGCTAGGCACTCCTCTACTTCAGGAAGCGACTGACCAAAGGCATAAAGCAGGCTCTCCTGCTGCCCCCCTCGGTCACTGCTCCCAACACAAGTGGTCTCAACACACAGAGAACCGGCTGTGCAGCAGACTTCAGGGCCTGCAAAGGGCTCCCTGCAAAACGCTCACAGCCACAGCCCTTTCTTCCCTGCTCTCAAAACAGGCCAGCAGCGTGACTTACACTTTGACACAGCCTGCACAATTCCTTCTCTTGGGAAAGCACTGCACCTCTCTTCCAATACGTGCAACAAAAACTCTGTTCTCTCAATCCTGCTTCCACAACCCGGTTTCTGGCAATTCCACAAGTAGCCAGCATCAGCACCGGCAAAAGGAAAACAACCGCAGCTCATCGCTTCTAAAGGCACTGATCTCACTGACAATAAGCATCCGTTCAGAACCACCGAGAATGTCCGGGCCGGTGACTTTGGTACGGCTAGAATAACATCATCCTCCTTTCACGTCACGCACAGCAAGAAAAGACGGCCTAAGGAAGAAGGAGCTGTTCACGCCGGCTGTGAGGGCCTCATCTTCCCAGCAAGCTGCTACGCGTGGTTAGCCCTGCTTGCCCGAAAGCAGCCCAGGCTCTGTCTGTCTGCCTGCCTACGGGAAGCTGCAGAAGAATTCCTTGGTTTGCTTTGCTTGTGCGTGCGGCTTTGCTTCCACCTGCCACAACGCCTTTCTCTAACCCCTTGAATTCTCACACGGTTACCTTGCCAGTTCTCCCCCATAACCCACCCACGTGGGCAGCGACAGCAAGCAGCTGTCTGGGGCTTAGCTCTCTGCCAGGTGAAACCACAACAAGGACACAGTTGCCAGCGTGCAGAAATTAGACCCGTGTGTATCTTCCTAAAAGTGCACGTCTGGAAAGGATGAGACGTTCCCCAGCTGGACTGCCCTCGGGGCCTGTCGGCCACGTTCTTACACTGCGGGCTCTGCATTTTTGTGGCGGCAGGAGCCGACCCCGCATTTTCACTAGCGGCTTTGAGCCACAGAAGGCAAGGTTAGCCACTCACGTGTCCCTGCTGAAACGCCTGGGGACATGTCCCTCACTCGGAACGCTGACAAAAAGACGGAGGCACCTGCCGGACCGCATAAAGACAGTCACGACGTGCACTCGCTCTCTGCGTTTCCCAGCCGAGGGCGGAAACCGCCCCCCTTGGGGTCTCCAAAGGAGCAAAGAACTACGCTCCAAAGCTCTCCGTCAGCCGCTTTCCCACTCCCAGAATTTACTCTTTCAAGGGCTTTGACTAAGCGTGGTGCGCAACAGAGCGCTTCTTACCAATTGACCGGGCAAATACTGACAACTCTGGCATGCAGAGCCGACGCTGCTGCGCCTGCAGCTGCTCCGCAGACCCCCGCCTCTGCCCAGCCACGCCGCCCGGTCACCAGCTGGCAGCGCTGCGCACAATGCGTGCCGGGATGGAAAAAGTGCCGCGGGTGAAGGACTGGACCTGCTGCCAATTGCCTAGAGCCCGGAAGTAGGTGGGGCCAGAACCGGAACTCCCTCCCACCTACCTACATAGGGAGGCGCCATTTTGTCGTAGTCCGTGTTCCACCCTGAGGAGCCGCCATTTCATGTTACTCCGTACCCCACGTGGTTTTGTACTGCTTAGGGCTCGGCTCCCCGGCTTGTTCCTTAACTCTTTCGTATTCCCAGGCCTCCCTCTGACTGCCTGCCCAATTCCCTTGCTCCGGGAAGCGCTCACATGAAAAAAAACTGATCCATTCCTACGCAGTCGCACCGGGCAAACACGTCCCGGTGCTGGCACTGGTGGCTGTCTCGTGTCTGACGCGGGGTTTCTGGAGACCAGCGGCACTAGGGGCACTTTGATCCCAGCTAACAACTCTGCCAGCTCCACTTCTCATTTGCCAATAGCGACCCGCTCGCACCTCCCACGTGAGGATCTGATGGGAAATCCCTCGCCCTTCCAGTGCGCAGCCTCTAGCCCTCTGCTAAGTCACCGACAGCCAAGGGCAGTCCCCGCCAGAGGGCCCCAGTCATTTCATCCTAGCGTTTGATACAGCCATGGAAGAAGCAGCCGTCACGTTCAGGAGCTCTCGGCACGCCACCAGTGACAGCAGAGCGCTGCAAGAGCAAGGCTCTCTTTGATATTCCACTCCTTGTCACGCGTAAGCACGTTCCAGGCTCCTGGGCCTAAATATTGAGCTAGGCACTCCTCTACTTCAGGAAGCGACTGACCAAAGGCATAAAGCAGGCTCTCCTGCTGCCCCCCTCGGTCACTGCTCCCAACACAAGTGGTCTCAACACACAGAGAACCGGCTGTGCAGCAGACTTCAGGGCCTGCAAAGGGCTCCCTGCAAAACGCTCACAGCCACAGCCCTTTCTTCCCTGCTCTCAAAACAGGCCAGCAGCGTGACTTACACTTTGACACAGCCTGCACAATTCCTTCTCTTGGGAAAGCACTGCACCTCTCTTCCAATACGTGCAACAAAAACTCTGTTCTCTCAATCCTGCTTCCACAACCCGGTTTCTGGCAATTCCACAAGTAGCCAGCATCAGCACCGGCAAAAGGAAAACAACCGCAGCTCATCGCTTCTAAAGGCACTGATCTCACTGACAATAAGCATCCGTTCAGAACCACCGAGAATGTCCGGGCCGGTGACTTTGGTACGGCTAGAATAACATCATCCTCCTTTCACGTCACGCACAGCAAGAAAAGACGGCCTAAGGAAGAAGGAGCTGTTCACGCCGGCTGTGAGGGCCTCATCTTCCCAGCAAGCTGCTACGCGTGGTTAGCCCTGCTTGCCCGAAAGCAGCCCAGGCTCTGTCTGCCTGCCTGCCTACGGGAAGCTGCAGAAGAATTCCTTGGTTTGCTTTGCTTGTGCGTGCGGCTTTGCTTCCACCTGCCACAACGCCTTTCTCTAACCCCTTGAATTCTCACACGGTTACCTTGCCAGTTCTCCCCCATAACCCACCCACGTGGGCAGCGACAGCAAGCAGCTGTCTGGGGCTTAGCTCTCTGCCAGGTGAAACCACAACAAGGACACAGTTGCCAGCGTGCAGAAATTAGACCCGTGTGTATCTTCCTAAAAGTGCACGTCTGGAAAGGATGAGACGTTCCCCAGCTGGACTGCCCTCGGGGCCTGTCGGCCACGTTCTTACACTGCGGGCTCTGCATTTTTGTGGCGGCAGGAGCCGACCCCGCATTTTCACTAGCGGCTTTGAGCCACAGAAGGCAAGGTTAGCCACTCACGTGTCCCTGCTGAAACGCCTGGGGACATGTCCCTCACTCGGAACGCTGACAAAAAGACGGAGGCACCTGCCGGACCGCATAAAGACAGTCACGACGTGCACTCGCTCTCTGCGTTTCCCAGCCGAGGGCGGAAACCGCCCCCCTTGGGGTCTCCAAAGGAGCAAAGAACTACGCTCCAAAGCTCTCCGTCAGCCGCTTTCCCACTCCCAGAATTTACTCTTTCAAGGGCTTTGACTAAGCGTGGTGCGCAACAGAGCGCTTCTTACCAATTGACCGGGCAAATACTGACAACTCTGGCATGCAGAGCCGACGCTGCTGCGCCTGCAGCTGCTCCGCAGACCCCCGCCTCTGCCCAGCCACGCCGCCCGGTCACCAGCTGGCAGCGCTGCGCACAATGCGTGCCGGGATGGAAAAAGTGCCGCGGGTGAAGGACTGGACCTGCTGCCAATTGCCTAGAGCCCGGAAGTAGGTGGGGCCAGAACCGGAACTCCCTCCCACCTACCTACATAGGGAGGCGCCATTTTGTCGTAGTCCGTGTTCCACCCTGAGGAGCCGCCATTTCATGTTACTCCGTACCCCACGTGGTTTTGTACTGCTTAGGGCTCGGCTCCCCGGCTTGTTCCTTAACTCTTTCGTATTCCCAGGCCTCCCTCTGACTGCCTGCCCAATTCCCTTGCTCCGGGAAGCGCTCACATGAAAAAAAACTGATCCATTCCTACGCAGTCGCACCGGGCAAACACGTCCCGGTGCTGGCACTGGTGGCTGTCTCGTGTCTGACGCGGGGTTTCTGGAGACCAGCGGCACTAGGGGCACTTTGATCCCAGCTAACAACTCTGCCAGCTCCACTTCTCATTTGCCAATAGCGACCCGCTCGCACCTCCCACGTGAGGATCTGATGGGAAATCCCTCGCCCTTCCAGTGCGCAGCCTCTAGCCCTCTGCTAAGTCACCGACAGCCAAGGGCAGTCCCCGCCAGAGGGCCCCAGTCATTTCATCCTAGCGTTTGATACAGCCATGGAAGAAGCAGCCGTCACGTTCAGGAGCTCTCGGCACGCCACCAGTGACAGCAGAGCGCTGCAAGAGCAAGGCTCTCTTTGATATTCCACTCCTTGTCACGCGTAAGCACGTTCCAGGCTCCTGGGCCTAAATATTGAGCTAGGCACTCCTCTACTTCAGGAAGCGACTGACCAAAGGCATAAAGCAGGCTCTCCTGCTGCCCCCCTCGGTCACTGCTCCCAACACAAGTGGTCTCAACACACAGAGAACCGGCTGTGCAGCAGACTTCAGGGCCTGCAAAGGGCTCCCTGCAAAACGCTCACAGCCACAGCCCTTTCTTCCCTGCTCTCAAAACAGGCCAGCAGCGTGACTTACACTTTGACACAGCCTGCACAATTCCTTCTCTTGGGAAAGCACTGCACCTCTCTTCCAATACGTGCAACAAAAACTCTGTTCTCTCAATCCTGCTTCCACAACCCGGTTTCTGGCAATTCCACAAGTAGCCAGCATCAGCACCGGCAAAAGGAAAACAACCGCAGCTCATCGCTTCTAAAGGCACTGATCTCACTGACAATAAGCATCCGTTCAGAACCACCGAGAATGTCCGGGCCGGTGACTTTGGTACGGCTAGAATAACATCATCCTCCTTTCACGTCACGCACAGCAAGAAAAGACGGCCTAAGGAAGAAGGAGCTGTTCACGCCGGCTGTGAGGGCCTCATCTTCCCAGCAAGCTGCTACGCGTGGTTAGCCCTGCTTGCCCGAAAGCAGCCCAGGCTCTGTCTGTCTGCCTGCCTACGGGAAGCTGCAGAAGAATTCCTTGGTTTGCTTTGCTTGTGCGTGCGGCTTTGCTTCCACCTGCCACAACGCCTTTCTCTAACCCCTTGAATTCTCACACGGTTACCTTGCCAGTTCTCCCCCATAACCCACCCACGTGGGCAGCGACAGCAAGCAGCTGTCTGGGGCTTAGCTCTCTGCCAGGTGAAACCACAACAAGGACACAGTTGCCAGCGTGCAGAAATTAGACCCGTGTGTATCTTCCTAAAAGTGCACGTCTGGAAAGGATGAGACGTTCCCCAGCTGGACTGCCCTCGGGGCCTGTCGGCCACGTTCTTACACTGCGGGCTCTGCATTTTTGTGGCGGCAGGAGCCGACCCCGCATTTTCACTAGCGGCTTTGAGCCACAGAAGGCAAGGTTAGCCACTCACGTGTCCCTGCTGAAACGCCTGGGGACATGTCCCTCACTCGGAACGCTGACAAAAAGACGGAGGCACCTGCCGGACCGCATAAAGACAGTCACGACGTGCACTCGCTCTCTGCGTTTCCCAGCCGAGGGCGGAAACCGCCCCCCTTGGGGTCTCCAAAGGAGCAAAGAACTACGCTCCAAAGCTCTCCGTCAGCCGCTTTCCCACTCCCAGAATTTACTCTTTCAAGGGCTTTGACTAAGCGTGGTGCGCAACAGAGCGCTTCTTACCAATTGACCGGGCAAATACTGACAACTCTGGCATGCAGAGCCGACGCTGCTGCGCCTGCAGCTGCTCCGCAGACCCCCGCCTCTGCCCAGCCACGCCGCCCGGTCACCAGCTGGCAGCGCTGCGCACAATGCGTGCCGGGATGGAAAAAGTGCCGCGGGTGAAGGACTGGACCTGCTGCCAATTGCCTAGAGCCCGGAAGTAGGTGGGGCCAGAACCGGAACTCCCTCCCACCTACCTACATAGGGAGGCGCCATTTTGTCGTAGTCCGTGTTCCACCCTGAGGAGCCGCCATTTCATGTTACTCCGTACCCCACGTGGTTTTGTACTGCTTAGGGCTCGGCTCCCTGGCTTGTTCCTTAACTCTTTCGTATTCCCAGGCCTCCCTCTGACTGCCTGCCCAATTCCCTTGCTCCGGGAAGCGCTCACATGAAAAAAAACTGATCCATTCCTACGCAGTCGCACCGGGCAAACACGTCCCGGTGCTGGCACTGGTGGCTGTCTCGTGTCTGACGCGGGGTTTCTGGAGACCAGCGGCACTAGGGGCACTTTGATCCCAGCTAACAACTCTGCC